AAGAAGGCTAGAAGCAGATGCAGCATGCTGGCTAAGAAGGCCATTTCTTGTGAATGCCCGAGATCGGTCGCAACTCCCACTTTAGACCTACCAAATCAATGCACCGCAGGAATATTAAAAACATCACCACGGAAAGGTTGTATTCTGAGGAAAAGAAATGTATCAGTCTTGTATCATTGCCTCAGCCCCGATTTAGTCTTGAATGTTTAAAGAAATTTGCCACTTCACTGCCCCGATACTTATAAAAACACAGTCTCCATTTTCTTTACATTTTGCTGCTGAGAATGACAATTTTGATGGCGTTAACCTTTACCATATATAACATTCTTACCCAATAAATAGAACAAGTAGTACCTGGGCACTTTGACAAAGCAATCGTTGAAACTTAACGAATGCCTGATTGAATTTTGCCACCTGAAAAAAGAGAAACAAAAGAGTTCCTGATGAGCATGATGCACTAGCAAATAGCTCCTGCTAAAGACTAAAGGGTGACTGTGCCAGTGAGAAAAACAATCGCCCTATGAATTGTTTATTCTTCTAGGTAGTGAACTGGTTCTGGTGCAATTGCCCTCAGTTTGCATCTAAGCAAACCCGGAAGAGGGACTCATCGACATTCTTTCCAGTGGGTGGATACAGTTGGCCAATCGGTTTAACACGGAACAAGTTTCAACTTTCCGAAAGATACAGCTGCATTATTATGCTTCAGAAAGTACGCATTCACTTAACACTAAGTTATGCTACATCTGTGTTTCTAAAAAAAAGCAGATGAAGCCTATTATTAATAGGCTAAACGCCAAAAGATGGGCGTTACCAGCTGATTAATTTGAGATGAAAAGAACGAGATTGGATGGTCTATCTAATTCCTCTACGGAATTCGCCAGTTATTATCTTCAAATTTTAAGGAAATTATATTTGCCACCTTCGAAAAAAGGATAGTTTTCCGGGAGCTACTGAAAAAATGCTAGAGATCAGCCGGTGATGAAATGTTGTTATGTAGGCTGAAATTTAAGCACTGACCCGGCTGACCTTTGCTGGTTCTGTCGGTAGTAGGCGTAATTATCCATGATGAATTGATAAATCTCTGAAAGAGTTAGCATACGAGATTCAGATCGCTGGATTGCCATCGTTATCAGCGAAATATATGAGAATGGTGGTTTTGCATTTCCGATTTTACCATTATAGGTGCGCATTTGAGCCTGCAAATTCCAGAGAAACTTCTTTACTGTAATTCGCATAAAAATTACAGTAAATGGCGACACTCATTGAAGGATCAATGCTTTATGTCCTTTTGCGTTCATTTGCCACAAATATGTAGCGAAACACAGAAGTTCGTCCGGAAAGCGTTTTTAACCCGACTGGCTTTACAAATTGCCGGCATTATTGAGCTTATTATAAGCACTATTCTGAGGTACTGCCAGCCTCTCTTCGACCTGTGCTTGCAGGTCAGAACATGTCTTGCGCCTAAATACCGATCCCACTTGTTCATCCTTGCTGTGCGCTGAAGGAGGAAGTCAGTTTTCCAGTAAGCAGCTTTTTGATTCTCAAATTATAGTGTTAGCGGAATTTTGAGCCATCTTGTTAAGACCACGAAGTGAAAAAATTCAGAAGCTAATTTTAGGTTTTTGACCCTATCCATTTAAATGTAGCTAAGAAATATGCTTCCAAAATTTTAGCCTCTCCTGCTCCACAGAGAGAACAAATATAAAAATTACACACAAACGTACAGACAAATAGGCAACAATATTGACAAAGTGGGATTTTGTGCAGAGAGGAGGGGCAAAAACT